TTTGCTTTTTATTCAGTCATGCTGGTCAGCATATTGTGACCTCCAAGGTTTCATAAGACTTGTCAAACTGACCATAGATGAAACAAGGAGTTCCCATGTTCTTCTGTTTTTCCATTTCTTTCCCAACAGCTTTCCCTTGACCTCTGTTTCAGCCCTCTGTAGCCCTTTTCCCATGAGCTAACTTAATGGAATAAAATGATAAAATACCTCCAAACCCAGCTCCATAGGTTTCTTCTGTGTCAGTGAGTTCACTGGGGCCCTGGAATGCTCCAGTGAGCTGCAGAGCTTCGAGCAGAGGAGTGATACCAGATGGCCAGAAGTGAGGAGGGGTAACTGGAGCAAGGTAGGAGTGGTAATAAGAGACAGGGAGGATTGGAAGCAAGCCTTTGGGTAGTAATGAGACATTAGATTGGCTCAAAGCCTGTAAAGCCGCAGTTAAATTGCCATTTGTAATTTTTCAAACAGAAAATAGCTGTGTGATTTCATGGATTTTCAAGAATGTATTCCAGATGCTATACAGGCACTATCTTTTCATTCCAGGGGTATTGGGCTCTCTTTAAAACTTGTGGCTTCCTACTGATTAATTCAGCAGATGAGATAGTTGGAAAATCTTTCACACATTTGAATCTGTAGTGAAATAGCAATTCTTTTCCCCCAGAGATGACATATCATTATTTCTACAGCCTGAGAAGTAGTATCCCTCCAATTTTATGTTTTATATGGCTGCCTGATCTCGTCATATACCCAGCTCATACTGTATTCAGCTAGAGCTGCCTTAGCAGAACTTCTTCATGTATACTAACATTTCTTCAGATGTTTCTAGACACAAACCTCCTGTTGATTTATGGCTGCACACCTTTCTAAAATACCTGAGAAGGGGTCTTGTGGATTTTGTGTAATAGGAAGCTGTGAGAACGGCATGAGTAGACTACACTGGTGCATTACACAATTAGATTTAACTGTATACATCTCAAGGTGAATGTCACAGGGATTGTGCTGGTACAGTAATGAGCAGGGGTGTACTGTGTTTGGTGGATGTAGCTCACTGATGCAAAAACTTACTTGAGAGTATGGTCAATTGTGACCGGCCTAGTAGGAACAACCCTTTGCAAATTGTATCTTTCATGATGACCAGCCTGTAGTTTGCCGGTTCTGTTCCTTACAGAACAGACAGCTTTTGGTTTCAGATGTCTGCCGTGCCTTCCTGTGCTGCTGGGATACCTTGATGAGCAGTGATGTTTGCTCTCTGAAAGCAGCTCCACTTATGGAGAGGGAGGCAAGCAGGTGAGCAGTGATGATCTGGCTTCTCTTGCTTCGATCTAGCAAAGAGTGAGTTACTAATTACTTCTGATGTCACGGATTGTTTCCTGTTGAACATGACCCATCTTTTCTGCTTTCACTTTTTTCTTTATTTTTATTGTTTTCCCTGGTTTTGAACCTCAGGGAGAACTCCGTAACTCTTTTTCTGTGGTGACTCCACCTTAAATAACTCTAAGTCATGAAAAAGTGATGCAGGTGGTACCGCAGCTTCCTGGACTGCCTGCTGTGATATCCAGCACTGTTGCCATACACACAGTGCTGATGTAGCGAACACTTGCAGGGGACTTTTCTGGAGGCCTGGGGTATATTTCTTTATCTTTCTCATGTTGCCAGCTAAATTTTCTGTGAGCTCAAAAATCAAAAGTAAAGAAATCATGCAACAACATATGACATAAAATTGAGAGCAGAATATTGCAGTTTGGTTCCTAGCAACACAAGTTCATGTAAGCAAGGCACAAGTTTCTCCCCATCCTAGTTGCATCCTCACATTTGCTTTCTAAAAAGCAGAATACATTGAACGTATTTCATCGATAATAGACTTATGGTTGCAATGGCAATGTCTATGCAATGGAATTGCAGTGGAGTATAATCTAAGATCTCAGGACAGACCGTGTATGAGTCCTCTGCTCTATGCAGCCTTGTTTTTATGCCCCTGTTTCTTTCTCTTTTTTTTTTTTGTTCCCCACCCATTACTTAGGAAGTGGCTCAAATAATTCATTTCTTTTAAAAAGAATTGCTCTAATTAAATGTCTGTTCAGATGTGTATCGTGCAAGCACCTCTTAGAAGAGTGTATTTCTAGAAAATGTGTCCCGAGTCAATTAGATTGAAAGTTCAAGGTAAGGTTCATGTAATTGAAAATATAAAGGGTATCTAAAAGGGAAGATGTATTTGTTCATGCCACCTACTAGATTCCATGAGGTATTATTCTCATCACTATTCATGTTTTTGAAGGATAAAGGCTTTTCTAATACAGTTGCTGTGCTAACTAGATTTTTGAAGGATAATTTTTGTAGGCTTTTGTTAATATGAGGAGGGCTCATTAAACAATACTAAAAGGAGGTGACAGTATAGTACTGGAATGCATATTTAGAGACGTGGTGGCTTAATAATGAAGCAAAAATTTCCATAATTTCCTTACAATGGTTTTTCATTTATAGTGAGTTTCATAGATTGTACAGTGTATTATGGATGTAATGAAAATTGACTGATTGAAAATTTAGTTCTGACATTTCCACTTAATTGCATTTTAAAGCAAAAAAATCTCAGTGTACAAAATTCTTTATTCTGTGGAGACCTGCACAACTTTAAGAAAGTTAAAAGAAGGCAATGCTTATTATGGAGAATATTCAGCTTAACTTTTTCCCCCCTTGCTCCAGTTATAATCCCAGAAGATATGGCAAAATGTTAAAGCTGTGAAATAACATTAAAATGCCATTTAATGTGTCAAGGGAAACGTTGTTTGTTTTTTTTACCTCTGATAAAAAGATTTGAATAAAAGCTTTTTCTTCTGTAGTGCTCGCAGGTTTTCGAGTAGATGGAGATGGCTGTTGCTAGCAGCAGATTATACCAGATGCAGAGTTTCCTAGGGATGTGTGCATTGTTTGCTGGAGACAGGTCTTATTGTCTTGCCTCAAGGCATTAGGTTGAGTCTCTAAGACTATTTAAGTAGTGATTTTTGTCCTTTGAGCTAGTGGAGTGTCACATGGTGCGATGTGACATTTTTAGGTAATGCAAGAAGTGGTTGTTTTTTCACTTGGATATGTAGAAGTAGGTGACCTCTGAAGTTTTTGCAAAACCCTTAAAAAAGAAAAAAAGAATTGCAGATTTCAGACACTTGTTGCTAGGTTCCCTGTCTAAAAAATATAATAAATTAGCATTTCATCATAGTTCTTTATCCACAGAAATATTATCAAGGAAGAAATGAAAGGGTCTGCGTTTATATTATACACCTTAGCATGCAAGTAGAGGACCAATACAGCTGTCTGTGATGAATGTCTGAAGATTTCCTGAAAGTCCCACTAAAATAAAATCAAGTATTGTATAGGGATTAACTGCTGCGATGTTACATATGAGGTAATGGGCACAATAAACTTTCCTGTTATTTCACACTTGTCTGTGTATAGGATATTTATTTTTTTCATTTGAAATATCTCATTTTTGTGCTAACACAGGTATTTGGTAGGATGATCTGTAATCTCCTTTAATACTACAATTTGTGTAATCGTGTGAGATTTCATTTGAGCTGTAGTTTGTAAATAAATCTATATTATGAGTATGAAGTAAAAATTATGCGTAGTGGAACCGTGTGTGGTACCAGTCTGTTTTGTGCGGTTTTGTTTTCTTTTTGTGTGGGTTTTGCTTTGGTTTGGTTGGGGTTTTTTTGTTTTTGTTTTTTCTCTCTTCATTAAATTTGCATTTGCTGGAGATCTCCAGATACGCAGTGTTGCATCCTTGTACTTGTTGAACGTGTCTTTCTTGAGTGCATTCATCTTGGAGACAGCTTGAGCAAGCTGAAGAGTATGAAATTGTCTAAGCAATTGTGTATTTTGGATAAGATTTTTTTCTGAAAAATGTTATGACATGTCTTAGCCTGTTCCAACATAATAGTAAACACTTCATGAATCCATACATTGCTGGAGAAAAATGTGAATTTGCAAGGTTTCTAGTTTGACAGAAGTCTGCCAGGAGGTTGTGACACAGCATGCTACTGTGAAAGATAGTTTGTAGAGCAACTCATAATATGTCACACCTAGCAACTCTGCTAAAATTATTCAGTGCTGCTTTTCTTCGCTGGTTTGCACATTATAATGCGGTAGTCATGTTGGGTTAATGTGTTAATGGATGGTCTTCAAAGTTTAGTGAACACAAGCAGGTTTTGCATCTCACTGTTTTGTATGCAGCTGGCAGTTTTGTTCAGGGCTTCCTGTAGTTTCAAGATTCAGTGATGGCTTGATGTTCAGTGTTGAATTCAAAGTGAGTCAAAACATTACTAACAAAATGAACAGTGTTAAGCCATTTAATCTTCGTGTTTTGGTTTCCTACTTGGTGCTAAGGTAGCATCAAAGCTAAGGAATTTTTAAAGTTAATATCCAGACAAATGTTTCTCTGCCAAAAGCAAGCAGTTAAAAGCTTGAAAATGCTCAATATGATTTAAGTAAACAGTTACTTAACCTTTTTTTTTTCAGTAAATGCACATTTAGAAGTAAATAAACATTTTCAAGTAAACATCAGAAGACTTGATGTGACTGGTCCTTTCTTACTAGTGCTACGTAAATGCTTGTGTTGTGAGGCAGTTTCTTATCCGTGTAGGCTTTCCCTTCCATTCTGTGTAAGTTTTCTTGAATTGTGCTTAATATCTCTGTTCCATCTTTCTTGACCAGATTCTCTGCTATCAGTGTGACAAATAGAGGTTTCAAGGTTGTACCTTTTGTCTAAGATAAAACAGTGGTAATGGTCTCTGTAGATACTTTCCGACCTGAGCCTTGTGTGCTGTGGCCTGATAGCTGCATATATGGGATTCTTTTGGTGTGTTAGTTTGTTCTATGTCTGAGGTTCAGACAAGTTACTTCTGATTTGGGAATTGTAGTTGCTTTCCTGTCTGTCATGCAGAATAACTTCAACTTTGAACCTGAAAATGATCAATATTGAAAATATTAACATACTGTCTATCCTTCTTTAGGAAAGCCCAACAAGAGAAGAAGAAAGTGGTTCTAGCAGGCTGTGTGCCACAAGCCCAACCTCGTCAGGACTATCTAAAAGGCTTGAGTATTATAGGGGTATGTATCTTTATCAACTAGAAACAAAGGTTTTCATAAATGTTTTCAATATGCCAGTGTCAATACATAGACTTTCTTGTCTTTCTCTGGGAAAAAGCAGCAGAGAAGCTTGGTACCCACCTCCCTCCCTCAGTAAGTTGTCTTGCATTATGCAGCACTTACGTCTTCTTGCATCCAGGCTGATTTGGTTTGGTTGTGGCATGAGGGGAGAAGGAGAGGGGTACTCTTGGTTGAACTGAAAAATATCCAGACTTCATCCAGCATGATGAAGATACCTATTGCCATATATTCTTTAAAATATCATGGTGTATTTCTTTGTCTTAAAGCAAATAAACTCTGCTAAAATTAGTGGAAGAAGTGTAAAAGACCGGAGCATATAAATTATACAGACACATCTGGGGGTTTGGTGAGTGGTTTTTTGTTTTTTGTTTTTTTTACTTTACACTATTAAGCAGAATGGCAAATAGCAGTGATTATTTTGTTGAAATTTGGGGCAGTCTGAAGTGTTAAATCCACCAGTGACTGAATTGTTAAGCAGTTATCAATGTTTTCTTTGAAAATGATAACTAGAAAGCTTTTGACTTCATTTAGTTAGTGAAGTGCCTTCAGTATCCTCTGGGATGAAGTACTGCTGTATAATTGAATCACCTTTGTAAATCAGTCATGAATACCCAGGAGTCAAAGCACAAGCTAACAAAGATTCTTCATTTTTCAAGCCATTAGTTAAAACTGGATTAATTTATAAAAGGCATGTCTGAGTTGAAGCAGTGTCATTAGGTTTAGTGTGTGAGAATGACAATGATGCTGTCCTCTACTATGCTGAGTCAGAGCAGGTGACTGTACGGCATCATTTCTGCACTAAAAATGTGAAGAGGTCAATGCGTTTCCACCTAAGTGTCATGAATTCAGGTCGAAACTATAGGAACAACACAAATGAACTGAAGCTTTCACTTTGATTAGGAGATCATACCAGGTGGTTCAGACTAATTTAGAAGTAAGATAATAGTTTGTTTGGAATTCGGAAGAAGATGGCTCCATTAACTGATTTATTAGAATTCTTTACAAAGATGGGCTTTGTGCTATCTGAATCTTTTAATGGCTGCTGTCACTCAAAATGTTATATTCCCCCCCCCCCCCCCCTTTTTTTTTTCCAGTTGCCATTCTCAGTGATGTTAACATCTATAAACTAACTCAGTGCCCAGAAATGGTATTCAGGGACTGTAAAATGTCACACTATATAGTTACAGTTTAAAGGAAGAAACAAACTTTCCATGCCACTCTACAGTCTTTCTTTACACAAATATATGCAAGAGAACTGTGCTTATCTGTCATCTCTAAGACTCTGGCTAATTACACTTTGTGCAGCAGGATAGAAAAAACAAAAAATAAATGGTGAATGGATTTTGCTTTGGCTCAGAAGCAACGTAGTCGTGTGATTTGTAATTGGTCATTATAGTAAAGATATCTAGACATGTGAAAACCAAGGGAGAAAAAAGAGGTAAGTCACTATCCTTTGAAGAGTGTAGTTTGGAGTTTCAGTTTTGATGATTTTAACGCAGGAAACTTAGGGAAGCTGAAGTTTGATCTTATTTTTAAAAATCATTGTTTATTTATTTTCAACTTTCACTTCTAGTAACACAATTTATGAAAATTAGCCTCTTAATTTTGGTATCTAGAACTAGTGTATAGTGAAAAATATTTGTAGTTTTGTATTCATTACAGAAAGAAAGATTTCTGTTAGGAGCTAAAGTACACTGTTAACTGCAGTGTTCCCAAGTCCTTTTGGGTTGGAGCTGAAAATACTGAAACATGATCTTTGCCATGTAGGACACTGTCTTCTAACTGTCATTGCTGTGGTAAAATTTACTGCTCTTTAACTAATAGATGCTTTAGCTCGGAAAGGCCCTAAACTTTAGGCATAACAATTAACAGAAGCAAAGCTAAGAGCAGATATTGTCCATGTTTTCAGTTTGTGTATTTAAGATTTTCTTTCATTTTACAAAGACTGTGTGTGAGGGGGTGTGACTGCATGTAAAGGATAAGAGTTGTTATCTTACTATTGCAAAAACTTTTTGAAAGGAAGTTTTGACAGAATTGAGAAATAGAAAACATTCTGTTGGCAGTACGATACTGACTCTGATTTAAAATCTTAAGCACTAAGTGTACAGTTTTGGAAATCTTGCTTTACCACCAGGTTGGTCTCATCTTCAACTTGGCTGAAAGAGATAGTTGATTTATTGTTGCTTATGTAAGCTCTGCTTTTTCTTCTCTTTTTTTTATTTTTCTGAAGAACAGTGTTGTTTGGGAATGTGGTTATTTACCAGCAATTATAACTCCCTTGGGGCAGCTTTCCGAAGGCAGAGTGTGTCAGAGGGCTTCTCTGCTCATGTTATTATGATGGAGGAGTGAGTTGAGATGTAACTACCAGAGAAATCCTGGTAACTTGGGATTGTTTTGGTCTGCACTTGAGAAATACTGGACTGAACTTCAGCTGTTCTTTATTTATTCCTTGACTTGGGCAGAAGGGAAGGAAGGGCAGCTTCATATGCTTGTTATCATTTGTGGTACACATTACTGTGTTTTTATGTTTCTTTAAAGGCATTACCACTTTTTAGAAATAATTTGAGTTAGGGATTTGCCAGAGGCTGTATATAAGGCAAACCATAACATAACATGGCAAGGTAAAGGGGGTGTTTTCTGGACAGGGGAAGGTCTAGGTAGTAATAAACCTGCCAAGTGTGGAAAGTGCACAAAACACTTAATGATGCATTACAGAGGTTCACAGCCATTTACACTCTGTTGGTTTCCAAAGCGTACACCTTCATGTTTGGAGTATTGTACCCACTTCAAACTCAAGTGCATGTATGGCATTGCAAAGAGAAATCAACTCTTGCAGTTAGGAGTTGTTCCTCACTTGTAAGTTGCTAAAAAGAAGGATATGTGACTTTGTTTATACTGATTGTTTTGAGGGGATTATAGGGAAGGGAGGGACAAGGGAGAATTAAAGAATTATCAGACATTTTATGTTCTGGGACTCATGAATGTACGTAGTTCTAGGGTTTTCTCACTTCCTGAAATGCCTACAAGAGCATGCAGACCCCTTGTTCCCAGGGGTATGTTGAACCACTGGTATGGAATAAAACCTTTTGTTTCTTTGGCACTTGTCTGGAGTTTGAAGGTGTTTGATGCTATGTGTTGGAACCCCTGACCAGTTTTCTGAGGGATCATAGGGTTTAAGAGTCTTCACAAGTCCTGTGTATCTGTACTTTGAAATCATCAAAATTATTGAACATACTGAAAACATGGGGCTTAGTGCACATATGTATCCTGTTAAAGGCATGCAATAGCTACAGAAATGAATCTCTTCCTGAATGAGAACCCCAGTTCTCCTTCCTTCCCCATCTTTCCTAGTGTATCTAATATCTAACGTCAAAAGACTTGTCATCTTCTGCCATACAGCCATTTTCCAAAGGAAGAATTTCAACCTATTTTTTTTTTCTGCACAAAATATATCAAGTATTGCCAAGGCTATAACCCTCCCTCTGCTGCTACACCGAAGTCAGAAGGTACAGGTCCTGTGCATGGTAAAATTATTGCATGCTCTTTGGCCTGGTTGAGCCTGAAGGCACTGCTTCCAGGAGAAACATGTAGCCGTGAAAACTTCCCTGCAAGGGCTCTCTGCATTCCCTTGAATAACCTTTTCTAAATTCTCCAAATACACTTTTCCTGTGGCTGTTCTATTCTGTAAGGTGAGCTTTAGGTAGTTTTTTAAATACCCAGTAGCAACTGTGGAGAGTGATTAGTGGAAGTGCTGAAAACTCCTGGTAGCAGCATGTTTAACAGTAGGAGCACTGCTATGAAGTAGATGATTCAGTATAAAAATGCTAAGTACATTACAAAAAGTAAGCACTTGATGTCTCAAGCTGTACATCTGTAATTGGTTTACACCAATGTGCCTTTTAGGTCTCCATTTGTAAATCCCTCCACTGAGCAGGCTTTAACAGTGCCATTGTAAAAGAAAAAGCAGCGTGACTGTATTGAGATGCCAAATGCTTGTACATTGTTACTGCTTTGGTGTCCTAAATGAGGATGATGTGTTGTATGATATTACTGATGTTCAGTTCATACAAGCTTCAGTGATGTTTGCAAAACAGAGATAATGACGCTTCCCTACCTTGCAGTGTTTGTGTGGTCACACTGTGTTAAAGATTGAAAGCCTCTCTGCTGCCCTTAAACTAGAGCCTTGCATAAATGCAAATATCCACTGTGTACTTCATGAAAGACTAATTTGATGGAATTTTATTTTGAATGATTTGAATTAGCAGAATTCTTGGAAAGCCTGTTGAAAGCCTGGGAACAGGTGCACACTGTTCTGTAATTTATGGCCAAGAATGATTTCATGCAAAATTCATGCTCAGTCAGTACCTCTCAGCTGGTCGGCTTTGGCTTGCGAATTGCCAATGCTGATATTCAGATATGATGCTTGAACCTGGAACGCCAGGAAAGAAGTATTCCAGTTAAGCACCTGTTTTTAAACTGAGAATTGGACATGCAAAGAGAATCTATCAATTTCCACAGCAGTTACATACTGTCCTATGAATCAAAAGGTGTAGGAATTAATTTAGATTAATTTAGATAAGAATTACACTTCAGCTGTGTCAGTGTTTAGCAACGAAAATCAGTTGTTTACATGTTTCTGTGAGGTAGTCTTCTTCCCTTTAAAGTCTGTGTAGAGCCTGCTCTTAGAATACCTTTCTAAGCAGGAATATTGCCCATTACTATGGTCAGTGTTGTCAGTAAAGGTTTTAAACACAGATGTTATCCCTCTGAAGCCAGAGTGGCTAATCACATGCCTTTTGAAGTTATGTATTCAGGCCTAGATTTATGCTGCCTAAGTGCTGTAATTTGAGAGTGTGTTTTGCTCAGCTCCCTTTATGGTCAGTGGAGATAATTATCTCTAAAATAATTTAGATTTTTAGAAGATCTGAAGTGACTTTTGAAGCTGTGTATTTCTCCTTTACTGGCTTTAGAGAGGGGATAGGCTGAGTAGGCTTTTAATATCCAGCATCTGACAGAGCTGCCTAAACAAGGTGAGATGAAGGTGAGAGTTGGTGAATGGGAGTTAAAAACTTCAGGATTAGGAATAGCAGGTTGGAATTACCTAGGGTTTTCCTAGATGAGAAAAAAAAGAAATTTCTCTATTTCAAGTAGTTTTATCTATGTTTACTCCCAGGGTGTTCATAAGCAGCTGAGTGCTGATAGTTTCCTCCAGCAGTAACCTCATGCTGTGCAAGCAAACCGCTGCCCTTTCCTATATTCCTATATTGTGGGTACCGTTTCCTCAGTTTCTCTGAACCATTGGCTGAGTTGTTGGGTTTTATTTTGGTTTGCAGAGTTTTTTCAATAAACATTCCTAGTCTTCGGTATTTCTTGTGTTTATCCCGCCTTTACTGTCTTCAAGATCTTTTTGGTAGTCATTTTCTTATACTTGATGTGCTTACAAATTGCTTGTGCTACCTCTGGGAAACTCAGGGAAGGGAAAGGAAAGGGCCTTTGGGGAAGGCTCTGGGAAGAATATCTGGAGAGAGTTGTCACTATCATGTTGATATCAGAGAACCTTTAACCTTCAGACCTTCTGTAGTGGAAAAGACATTTCCTTTGATGCTGAAAGGAAAGCAGGCTGTGGGGAGCAACTGCATTCACCCTGGGGAGGGTCCCAGAGAAGGCTGATTGTGGCTGGAAACCTGGCTGCCACTTTTAACCAGTGGTCGTAACTGTCAGTTTCTGGGAGCTGACACTCATCAGAGGGTGAAACCACAACCTTCTTGTACAGCCACTGGTGCAAGCATCAGAGATCTCATACTTTTATCTCTGATTCATTTTTATTTGCTGATGATTCTACCAGGTTAATCCCAGATCCTCAGGAGAAACAACAGTTGTCAGCTGAAGGATCCCTTATGACCACTTACGGAAATGGCTTGTCAGATGCAGGAATTACTCTGTAATCTTGTGATCTGAAGAGAATATCAGAAAGTTTCTCTTACTTTCATGATAGGTTCATGGCTGCAGTTTTCTACATAGCTTTCTTTGATCTGAGGCTTGCCAACTTCTATAGAGTACAAAAACTGGGGGTGAATGTGCAACCTCACACTTAAGTGCCCGTTAAGAGCATTTAGTTTATAGGAGCTCTCTTAGAGGCTGTTTTTCCTAGAGTTGATCTGCTAAACAGTTCCAGGATGTTAATACTGGTTCTGAGACAACTTGGATCATGTCTGAGAGCTTGGAAGAATTTGTGTGACCATCTTCAACATTCATGTCTGTCTGCACTCGCAGACCACCTGGTGTGAGACTGCAGACATAGCACATTACAAGCATGTCTTAGGGCTGTTTACATCTCACAGTCATCTGTTGAATGGGATTGTGACAGCACAAAGGGAACGGAGGGACTTTATCTGATGACAAATGAGCCATGTGAGTGTTTCTGTATTCCTTCTCTAATTACTGGTGCTTAGTTGGAGAGCTCAAGGCTTCTGTCTCGGTGCAGTGCTGGCATGTCCATGGTTTGAAATGTGGCTGGCTTGCAATTGTGTGTTCAGGAGCGACCTGCAGCTTCAGCCCTAGCATGGATCCCCCTGTATCTGCTATGTGTATATAAGAGCTGGATACATATGATTGCTGAGCTGTACTTACCCCTAGCTCTGATCTCACCAGGAAGGCTCAAAGATTTTTCCTCATCTTTGTTTCAACTCAGGCTTCATGCTTTGTTACAACTCTCTTTTTTCTTGCTTTTTTGACCAGTCTGTTTCTTGCATTGACTACTCCTTCGTCTGATGGGTTTTGCCAGTGCTCTTGTCCTATAGTCTCAGTCCAGATTTCTGTATTAGTGTAGTCCTGCTCAGCTGCTTGCTCCACTCTGCCATTAGCTTTTGTTCTACTCAAGTCCTAATGGAGAACCATTTGTAATGGACAAATGTCCATGTATATGCTTATACAACAAACAAGTTCTCACAAGATCTATGGCGCCAAGTGTGGTGCACTAACTACATCCAGCACTAATGTATCTGCTGTCAGTCTGGAAGGTTTGATTTGTAGAGACTCGTTACAAAGAAACGTTGAGGAATGGTATTTTCTCTTCATATGCCACTAAGAACTTTTATGTCTCTGTGCTTCATAGGCTTCCTGATGGAGACGTTATTGGGTCTCTGTTTAAGAAGTTTACAGATGCCTTTGATACCACTCCAGAACAGAATTATCCATAAAGTTAGTGAGATGTGGGGAAAAGAATCCTGCAAGCCTTTGTATACTCCATAAAATTTAATTACCGTGACTTTGTGATTTTCCCCCTTTTTCTTTTTTCCTCCATTTTTTTTCAAAGAATAATCCTCTGAGCCCTTCCCTCATCTTACGCCAGATTCACCTCAGTTTTACTAAAATACTTTTATCTTCATAAATGCAGATGGGAAGTATTCCATCTTTTCTTCTTGAGCGCTTGTGGCTTTAGCCAAACAATTTCCAATAATCTCAAATGAAAAATACTTAATGTGGGACATAACATGTAAGGCAGAGTAAGCATCCGTTTCTAGTCACAGATCTCATCTCTCCACCTATAATTTTAATTACTTGAACTGAATTCTTGACAGATATATTCAGAATAATCTATCTAATTAAATAACAATACAATATGCTGGTCGCTCTTTCTGCATCTTTATTTAACAGGTGGTTAAATGCAGGAGCTATGCAAATTCCTCTTATGTACAGTACAGTAAATAATCAGGTGGCTCAGGTTATGAACCAGCCAGGTTTCTCTAGGTTTAAAATTATTATGAACTAAAATTTAGTGTTGAGGTGTGTAACAGTAATATTTTAGGCAATGTATTTGCCACAGACTGTGTTCTCTGTCTGTAGTTGTAAATGTGTGCACTTCTGGTTTCAAGTTGCATCTTAAAATCTGTTTTTAAAAAAAATAAGTAGAAAGTCTCTATGTAACTATCTTAGGTCATAGCTTTTTAACTTTTATCCAAAAGGGGTACGCACACAAGAATGTGAAAATGCACATGTTCCACACAACTGCTTAAGTGGGCTTTCTTTAAAAGTAGATTGCTAAATATTGACATATGTTTATAATATGAATGCTTGTATTTCAGCAAAGGATTTACATATATATATCTTTTAAAAAGAGTATAAAAATGCCCATATTAGTGATACTTTAAATAATTTATGTTCTAGAACTCGTAACTAATATGCTGTCTTCAGAAATATGAAGAGGGAGAGATTTGTGTTTTGAAAAGGCTGCATTTCAAAAGGTTTAAGAAAAAAAATAGTTCTGCATGGACTTGATCCAACACCCAGACAAGGAAAGGAACAGACTCCCACTGACTTTTGTTGGGAACTCCAGATCAGACACCAGCTACAGATGAGCTTTTTTTTTTGTTGTTTTTTTTTTTTTTTTTTTAGCTGCTATTAAACCAATTGGAAAATGAATGTGAAATAGAGATGACTGCAAACATGCGTTTACAGGAAATGACAAACTCGGCGGCTTAAGGGCAGAGAGATTTAATGGTTTTGATGCAAGGGGTCCAAGTTCTAAGCTCCTTGTTGCAGACCAGGTTCAACTCTTGAAGCCTCTGCAACTTGTGCTTTTCAGCTTGTTTTTGAAACAAATCGGAAAAGAAATTCTAAGGAAATGACTGTAGAAGTCATACTAAATCTAGTTCATATAATGTAAAGCTTAAAGAAGCAGTGTTTAAGAAGGAATGTTGTGGGAAAATTATAAACTAATTAAATGGGCAAAGTATCTTTTCCTGCATTGTATGTCAACATCTGTGGGGATATATTAGTAGACATTACATATAATAGGTGGTTTAGAGAAAAGTTGTAGGTAGAATCTCAGGTTCAAGAATTTGATGTGTTTAATTTTGCAGTATTAATGCTAATTCTTTCTACTTCATATACCGACATCTCTATAGTATATTGGCTATTAACTTTAAATAAATAATAATATATCAAATAAGAAATAGTTGAACATTTTATTACATTATGGGTGAATTTTGGCAAATGTAACAAAACATCAGTCTGTTGTCTTTGCTGGAGATGCTATGTCACACTCATTAAATATTATTCTGTCCTGTGAAAAGCACTGGGGCTTTTCCTTCCATTTCCAAATGGAATGCCTGCTGTCAATCCAGGACTATGTCTTGTTCCCTTAAACTTGACCACAGTATTTTTAATTTCTTCCCATATTCCAGTGTCTTTCCCCTACAGTACTTAATTTTCTCCCCTGTAGTCTGCCCTCACAATATCCTCAGCTGCTTGTATTCTCTACCACCTACTAATTTGGTGTTAAGACTGGGGGCTATTTGAGCCACCCAGGTGGTGACTGCCTGGGTGAGCACTACCCTTCATGGACTATGAACAGCAGTTAAGCTGTGAATTTTTTTTAATCCATTTGGTGATTTTTTGCTGAACTTACAGTTGCTATTTTTGAGGACAAAATTTGGTTTAAGTTAGATGGTGAGTTTTACAGTTAACTTTTGGAAGATGAACCAAGATGAACAGAAAAAACCTGGCTAAAAACATAGCCCCAGACTCTTTATTTCCCCTTGGTTCAGGAGAGCACACATAAGAAGAGCTTATATAGATTATGTCCAGTTGTTGACTACATAGATATTGACCTTCTGACTTTTTTTAGGTTCAGCAGATAGATCGTGTAGTAGAAGTTGTGGAGGAAACTATTAAAGGTAAGCATCACACTTCAAATAATTGCAGTTAGTCTGAAAGATGTAAACATTAGCTATCAGAAGTGCTGCTGTTACTTTCGTTATCAACCTAATTCTTGCTTTTTTCTGTATCTAAATGTTTGGACAGTGGTATACTTTGCTGTGTATGCTTTGTGTAAGTGGTTAATTTCAAAGATCTTTTCTGACAGGAGCTTTGTGGCCTGTTGGATTCATGGTAAATGATCTAGGGGAGACTTCAAAAAATCATTTAAGTTCCATTGGTGTAGGTGAATGTCGTGTATTGTTTAAAGTTTCTGTGCAATCTTGATGCAGTGCTGTATCTCTTATGTTTGGTCCTCCTGTGTTTTCTTCTTTTCACATTTTGGCTCACTTCCCTGAGACTTCCTTAGCAGGACAGATAAATTATCTGCTGGTTTAATGTTCTTTTGTAACTGTGCTCCTTGTTCTCTCTGGCTGTGTGCGTGTGTGTGTACACTCAGTACTTTGTAGTGCAGGGGGGAAAAGACAGTATTGTTTCTGCAGCCTGACTAGTAAATATTTGCTTTTAAATAAATATATTTGTCTCAGTCTTTCTGGGTTACCTAAGTTTGTCTCCATTACTTATCAGGCCATAAAAATTACTGTTCCATGAAGCTTTAAATTACAAGGTTTAGTTTAATTGGCTGTACTTTCAATATAAACAAGTGTCTAGTCCACAAGACATTGCCTGTAACCTTAATGCTGAAGTATGGGTTTTGGAAGTACCGCATGAATATGTAGAAACAGAGCAAAATTTTAAAAGAAAAACGTTTCTATCAATCAAGAAATTGTGTAGTGTGGTGGAAGGCTTCTAGAGTCTGTGGTTTGAAGGCCTTAAGATTTCACGTTACTTTGAATACTTTCAAAAATGAGACCTGTACTTTTATGTACTCTCAATCAAAACTTCTCCCAGTTTATCCTCACCTTATGACATCTATCTTTTCTTTTGAGTACTGTACCATACAAATGAAGAAGAAAATGATTCAGTGTATTCATATTTGTTATTAAATAAGCCAAACTGTTTTCCCAGAATCATCACAGTGTTTATAACAATGTGTTGGAAATGGGGATGCTTCATAAGAGCCTAAGAAGAGCTAGGGGTGTTCAGCTTGGAGAGGAGAAGGTTCAGGGGGATCTCATCAATGTACCTTCGTGAAGGGAGGGGATTAAGAGCATGCAGCTAGGCTTTTCCAAGTGGTGCAGAATAGCAGGACTGGAGGCAGTGGGCGCAAACTGAAACACGGGAGGTTCCTGCTGAACATCAGGAGACACTTTTTGACCCTGAGGGTGCCAAGTAGGTGGTATAATCTCCATCCTTGGATGTATTCAAAAATTGTCTGGATGTGGTCCTGGGCTCTAAGCGGCTCTGCTCAAGTGAGAGAGTTGGAACAGATGTCTTCCAGACACCCCTTCCATTATAACCCTTCTGTGAAAATAGAGTTTAAATTGGAGAAACAATTGACAAATTGACCAGGGGTCTCATACATATGGTAACGGTTACTTTTGCAAAAGCCAGCCATAAAAAAAGGAGGGTTTACTTACTTGTGTTACTTTCATTTAAATTTGATTAAAGATAATGCATTAATTTATTTGTTTGGGAATCATTTTTCACTAGTGGTGAAGAATGTGAAGCACTCTTTCACTGTGTCAAGAAAATGGCTCCCCTCTTGGATTTGTTGAAAGCTTACTGTACTTCTTTGGAATTATTTAGAACACTTTCTATGAAATATAAAGGGGTTGATTTTACCTTTATTTCTCAATGTCTTAAAGGCATTGTCAGGAAACTGTCTTCAGAGCAGTGTCATTCTGCTGCTTCAAGAGATGGTTTCAAGAGTAGATCTTTATGGTGTTCTTTACCTCACCTGTCTGAAAACATTGTAATTGCTAGTTCCCAACTCTTCACTAAGGTAATTCTCCTAAACACTTACTGTGTGAATTATCTTCTTATTCTTTTTTATCAGAAAATGTAAAAGGTCTTAATATTTATTATTGCACTAACAGCCAGAAGAGACAGAATTTTTGGCATTTCCTAATTATGAGGTAAATTATCAGATAAACTGTCATTTCCTGGAGCGATCTTTAATAACTGTGTACTATTTGCATGCAGGTCATGTCCGATTAATATTTATACTGTGTCCCCGAATGTTTTTTAACTAGAGGCATCTTCAGGTACTTTACTATGATACTGTAATTTATGATCTGAAACCTCTATACTGCCTTCTAGGAGCTAGACAAATTAATTCAATCTCAGCCTAGAATTAAGCTTCTCAAAGTCACAGTTGCTGTTGCATAGCCAGAGTGTGTCGGGCTTCCTGATACACATCTCATCATGCAAGACTCTGATTTAGAAGTTCAGTAAATCTTGCTTCATCTGCACAATACCTAAATTGTAAGAGTGGATTACAGCAATTTTTGCACCATTAGGGCACCCATTTCCGCTCATCTGCTTTGTTTCCTAGTAACATGTTATAATGACATAGTATGTTAGGTAAGTATTGGTAAGGAGTTGTAATGTCTGTGAGCTAGGAGACAACACAGTTATAACTGATGAATGTTCCATCATTAAGTAATATTTCTGTGCAGAATTTAAAGGCTGTTTGAGCTGATCACTATAGAGCATGTCCCAATAAGGTGAAGATTTGTCTTTGATGGGAACCACAGAATGTCTTTATGGTGATTGCTCAAGTCAGTATTTTATGAACCACTTTAAAAGCTGTCTTAAAATCCAGTGTGTGTGTACAAGCTTGCGTCTAAACAGTTTATAGTAGGCAAGATAATCCATTTATTCCACAATTTGAAAGAGGAATGTTAACTGCTTACTGTGAAAATTCTTCTCTTCTTGGTTTTCAATTTAGGTTTTTAGGGAGTTGGGCCTTTCCCCCCTTTCTACACATGCTAGCTCTCAAATCCTATGTTATTAAAGTTTTCTGGAGTGGGAGGTATGGAACAAGAGTGTTTGTATAGAGTCTGCTTTTAGCTTAGGCCTTAGGGAGATGAGGGGCAAGAGTTGAATTTAGTCCATATTGTGTCAAATGCTTTCATTTTTTTTCCTAATGCTTATGTTTCACAAACCATAGTTTTACAATGGGTCATTAGACTTGATTATAAAAAACAACCAAAGGAAATTACTTCAGGGTTGAGCCTTTTATACTTCACATAACCTTTCTTGATTTCAGTCACGTTGACCTGTCTGGTGAAGCTGCCCATCCATTCCAAGTTTAAACATTAACCAGTATTTACTAAACTGTTAAATTGTCCTCATGTGGTTAGTAATTATGGATTGCTGATAATTGCAGTGTCAGTCTGTATGAAAATGAGCAGATAAAACCCCCCTTTAGCCATGTAGGCTAAAGCATAGAATTTATGCTGGATTTCCTACCTTAGAGGGTGTGTATAGGAATGCCTGCATGTGAAATGGTACTTGTATCTGCTGTTTGATTTCACTATAATTTGCTGATAACAGTAGTTAAATTACTCTTTTCCATTTCTGTGATTGTGGGAAGAGTAGCTTTGGCTTAAGAAGCTGGTGACAAGCCAAATGAAGAATAAAAATTGGAAGAGGCAGGAGTTTCTTTTTGAGGAAGAGTATCATTTGGCACCGAGTCAGGAAACCGACTGTGCTGAAGTGCAGGTTGAGGAGGGTCAAAGGGAGAGTAGTGGCCTCATAGAGTCCCCGTTTCTGCATCCTTTGGAAGGATGTAGAAAGGGGGGATAGTTTTGGATGGGCTGTTTTATTTATTTCACTGTGTGGTGGGTTGACCTTGGCTGGCTGCCAGACCCCCACTCAGCTGCTCCTTTGCTTCCCCTCCTCGACCGGACAGAGGAGAAAATAAGATGGAGTAGCTCATGGTTCACAACAAGGACAGGGAGATCACTTACTAATTACCGTCACGGGGAAAACAGGCTTAATTTGGGAAAAAATAATGTAATTTATTGCCAATTTAAAATAGAGTAGGATGGTAAGAAACAAAGAGACAACTAAAACTACCTTGCCCTACCCCCTTCTTCCCAGGTTTAGTTTCACTTTTTCATCTCTGACTCCTCCACCTCCTCCCCCTGAATGGTGCAGGGCGGGGAATGTGGGTTGTGGTCATCCTATAACAAACAGCTCCTCTCTGCTGCTCCTGCCTCCTCACCCTGTTTCCTTGTTCCAGCCTGGCCCTTCCCATGGGTTGCAGTCCTCCAAGAATTGCTCCCGCGTGAGTCCCTTCCATGAGGTGCAGTCCTTCAGGAACAGGCTGCTCCAGCATGGGTCCCCCATGGGCTACTGCCAGGAACCCTGTTCTGCATAGGCTCTCTGTGGGCTGCAGCTTCCTTGGTGTATCTGCCCACTCTTGTGCGGTCCTTACAGGCTGCAGGGGCATGACCTGCTTCACTGTGGTCTTCTTCAGGGGTGCCTGGAGCACCTCCTCCCCCCCCTCATTCTTTCACCTTGGTGTTTGCAGGGCAGTTTCTTGCACTCTTTTCCTCCCTGCCAGGCAGCGATGTGTGCTTTCTCACGCCACCAGTGACTGAGGGACTCAGCCATGCCCTGTGGTCAGTCTTTTGGAGTGGCCATGTCCAGCAGAGGTCAGCCCCAGCTTCTCCTTACAAGAGGCTGCCCTGCAGTCCCCGCTGCCTGCACCTTGTCATAGACACCCCATGAACAGTATTACATCTTTAGCAATATTTCTAGGTAGTAGAACTGCCTTTTAAACTGAGATTATTGAAAAGTCAAGGTACTACTGGGCAAAAGTTATGCAAGGAGTTGTCTGTATTTGACAGACTAAAAAAAGTTTGTGGGGGGTTGTAATCAGGCTTTCAATAGGCAGTATACAGAACTACAGCTTTTCAGTAAGTCAGTGAAATGTCTGGTTAAAAGATTGAGCATCACCCATTTGTATGTATTGATTGCTGGTATAGTAAATGTAGAAAAGTCACCTCCTGCCCCTTTCTTGTGTCACTGGATTCAAAATTTTGGAGCTGTTTGTGAAACAAAAATT